AAAACCTACAGAAACTAAACAGGGAAAGGTACAAGTTCCCAGAAGAGAATTTTTAAAATAATAACGTTAAAGGCCTCTTTTCAGAGCATACATTTCAATCATATACACAACCACTGTATTAAAAATTCTGGGCATAACCCCAACTTGGAAAAATCATATAAAATCGACCAAAACTTCAAATTGCATGATTTCAACTCCTAATGAAAGCTTATAGCGAGTGCTACAGTTATCATGATGATCATATTTTCACATAGCCACATTAATATCATAAAAACAGCCCGGCATCTTAATTCACAAATCTGCCCAGAATTACAAAAATTGCATGCATGTATAACTTCAAAAATTCATAATAAATACAAATCAACTCCAAATCACAAAATTCCAAAACTCTCAGAAACCTAACTCAAAGCACTACAAAATTATTGAAGAAAACTTGACCAGAAAATAGCTACTTTTTTACGAAAAACTGGGCATAAATAGAGGCTATAACTTGAAGTTTTTAATCCAATCTCAATCCAAATCACACACTCATGAACATAACATCAACAAGTCTCATATAATCACAACATATATCTCAAATACGCACATTTAAGACATAGGGAGGTCAGTCCTAAAATGATTCAACATGATCCCACATGCTTTCACATAATACGAATATTTTTCACATAAAAACTATTGATTCCTCACCCTAGCAGATATTAATCATCAAAACTCCATAAGTTTCACATATTCACATCAGTTATGATTCCTACTCGATGTTATTTAAAAACAGAATAGAGCATATTCCAAATAAATCAACAGCTACCAACATCTATCACATACTTCAGTGTAATTAATCCCATCACTATGACCATGTAACCAGAATTACAATAAAACATAAGAAAAATTAGTTTGCACAAGCCATGAGGACCTAGTTGCTTATACATAAATTGGTGGTCCACGATTAGTGCTTATACACAAATCGACCCGTGAGGCAATTCTTTAACATTGCTATGTCCGAATTGAGAACTCCTAACCTTTCGAATTCGTCGGAGGAAAAAATTCAACGAGCATAAATTCCGCTATCCAACTTTATTAACTTGGCCCCGGCAGGAAACATATATGCCAAGACAGCGACGATGAAGATCAAACCTCCGGGCCCGGGTATTGTCATATCAACTGTGAGAAGGTTGAAGGTTGGAACGGCGCGCGTCAGCGGCCGGGGCGTAACGGCCCGGCCCTCTGTCAGAGGCAATGCTGGCCTCAACCTCTCTAGGTTGTGGTCGGCCAGGTTTTCCTGACAGAGGAAGGTGTTTGGTCGACGGGGATCACTTCCCAGAACCCGACAGAGCCCATCGGTTCAGAGCGTGGTGCTCGGGGTCAATCTCATGCTGGAGTTCTACATGGAACTCCACAAACAAGCTGCACCTACAGCTCATCTTCCTGGCGTCTGAGTGCTGTGGTAGGCTGGTAGCTCGTCAGCTCCCTCGTCCTAGCGTTTTTTTAGGCTTGGCTGGTCCTTTGATTTTTTTTTTTTAACTTTGTAATCGACTGGGGTTGAAGCAACTGTAAAAGTAGTAGTGTAGGGATTTCTATTCGATCTTTTATTCTGCGAAATACAATCTTCGCATATTATTCGCCTAGTTGGTGCATAATAAGAAAAAGAAACTATTTTTGGAAATTTTCTATTCTGCGACTGTTAGAGGTATGCTGTAAAAGCTGTGTTTTGCAGTTTCTATCAATTCCATTTTGATCTGGCAATCATGTTTCGGTCAAAGTACATATGTTTGCAGTTTATTT